GACCAACATCTGAGTAGGCTAACGTTAGATGGTTGGGTCAAGGGCCTGATGCAGAAAGCAGTACTTCTGGACACGGCGCGTATTGTCCGGAAATTCCTTTCTCTGGAGCCCTGACCACCGGTAGCTTGGATTTCTCCCGTGGGCTACTGCTTTTTATATTTTTAAATGTTTTTTTTTATATAATCAAATATTTCAAAATGTATAAATCAAGTAAATATATAATATATACAATAAATAAATAAAACAATACAAATAAATAAAGGAAATAATAATAATATTAGTGCTACTACCTACCCGCTAAGAACTAAAAGTAATCTTAGTTTCGTATGTCAATTATGTTGACATTGACATAACAGCACATTGTTTATCATGTCACGTGCTTACCATAACAAAAAAATGTAGGCATCAAAATCAATTATAGTTTAATTCGTAATGAATAATTCAAAACTGGATTTAAGTTCCGCGTTCCTTTAGTATTGAATTTTAAATTATCTCTTTATATGTAGTAATTGCAAATGTGTCTATCAATCACAAGGTCATCAATTCAATCTAGCTTTTGTTATTTGTGTGCTGTTTCTGTACTATACTATCAAAGAGATTATCTTGAGAGGAATCCTTATGATCAATAATTCATCATCATCATCTTCATCAACAGCTTCTAAATGCCCACTGCTGAGCAAAGCCTCTCCTCACCCGGAGAAGGTTAGAGCATTAATCGCCATGTTTGCTCAATGCGGGCTGGCGATATCAAACTTATAATTAGAAATTATTAGCTCAGGTTTCCTCACAATGTTTTCCTTCGCCGTTGGTCAGTGGTGACTAAATAATCTTAGAAAATACATATAGCTCGGAAAAAGTCACATTGGTACTTGCCGTTGGTAGGTTTCGAATCTGCACCCTCGTGTATGAGAAGCAGGTGTTATCAATAATTATTTAAGTTAATTTATTTTACATTGCTTGTGTGACATTCATAATTGACAATTATCTTTTTACATTAGTTAAATATCTAATTTGACATAAATTTTTTGACTGCAGGTGTATCAATAATTCTAATTTCTTTGACATTATTGTATTTTAACAACATTACAATGAATTCAACTCAATGGACCTAATTTTATTATATAATCATTTTTTATAACATTATTACTGAGATTTTCTTTAAAACCTAGTAAAGGTTTTAAAAAAAATCTCAGTAGTAGCACGGAGTCTGGAATTGTGCCCGGTATATGGCAATAGGCTCACCCCCTTTTTTTTAAGGGGGGAAAATCATCGAATGACTGCTCCCACCTGGGTGAGGCGGGAGGGAGTGTCAGACTCTTACTGACTAAAAACCACCCCGTTCCTTCTCCTGCAAGTCGAGCCGGAGCCCCGGTTACCCGTTAGGTTCTCCGCGGCAGGCTCACCCCCTATTACATGGGGCTCATAACATAAATAGTGAAAAGTGGGTGACATATTGTACAGTGGTATAATGTGCACCTCTGCCTACACCTTCGGGGATAAAAGGCGTGATGTTATGTTATGTCTTTATAACATATCTTTGCATGCCAAGTAAAGACAAACTATGGAGTAACTGTAAACTTTATTAACACCTGTATGTTATGTACCCATGTTTGCAAATGATTGAATGAATATGAATATTATTACTACACACAGTACCCAACGGTTTTTTATAAACATTATTTAACTTGGAAGTTGAACCCAAGAACGCTAGCCATAGACATAATAAAGACTTTTTTACTATTTCTAAGACGGTGATAGCTAGCGAGCTATCACTAGATCAGTGAGTCACTCAGTATTTATAAGTATCTAATAGATTGTATATAGGTAGATTATTTCGTAGATTTTAATGTTTCTAACTGATAAATAATAACTGTCTAATATTTTCTATTTGTGTTTATTGATAAAGATGATGATAACTTATCTGTGATAAAGTTACAAATAAATTAAATCAAGACACAGTTTGTATTATAAAGAGGAGAACAGGCCCGAATGTGCATAGTATTATTTTTTAAGGGGGAAAATTATCGAATGACCGCTCCCGCCTGGGCGAGGCGGAAGGGAGTGTCAGACTCTTACTGACTAAAAGCCACCCCGTTCCTTCTCCTGCACGTCGAGCCGGAGCCCCGATAACCCGTTAGGTTCTCCGCGGCACTGTGCATAGTATAGTTTCTAATTTAAATGAGGAGACAATATTTTTATTTAATAACTGTTACTATAACTCACCACTTTGCTCTTTAACATTGACAAACCTTTTTCTCTTTGTCCGCTTCAGAATATTATTTGGCAAAGCAATATAAGGTGACCCAACCGTCTATAATAAAAATCATACATGGATCTATATGAAACATGAATTAATAAAATAATATATATATTAAAATTATCATAAACTATGCTTTGACCAAGATCAGGCCATAATCATAATCAAAAAGTACATTATCAAGAACCAAGAAAATAGACAATAGCTGGTTGCTAAAATTAATTCGATGACTCAATATTATGTATAAAATTATTTTAACCCACCTTCCTTTGCCTTACAATCACTAATTAATTACTCACTCACAAAATGACACATTTCGATAATATTATCGGATAAAATAGATTATAAAAATGGCAGGCATTAGTTTATTGACAAATTAGTTCTGAAGAAGTCGTTTAACATGTTCGCAAACAAAGTGGTACTAGTGACGGGTGGTAGCTCCGGTATCGGTGCAGCTACTGTAGAAGCATTTGCTAAAGAAGGCGCTTCTGTCGCCTTCGTGGGAAGAAACGAAGCCAAGCTTAAGGAAGTAGAGAGCCGCTGCCAGCAGCATGGAGCCAACGTCCTGGTAATCAAAGCAGATGTCTCCAAAGACGAGGAAGCGAAAACCATAGTACAACAAACTGTCGACAAGTTCGGGAAACTTGATGTGCTTGTCAACAACGCTGGGATTCTACGGTTTGCAAGTGTATTACAACCGCACATATTGCAGACTTTTGACGATATTATAAACACGAACTTACGATCTGCTATCCTTATTACTAACCTGGCCATACCTCATTTAATAGCCATGAAAGGCAACGTGATAAACGTTTCAAGTGTTATGTCATCATCGGTCAAACTGGCAGGGATGATGCCATACAGCATTTCTAAGGCAGGTATGGACCATTTCACAAGATTCTCTGCGCTAGAACTAGCTCCTTCTGGAGTCCGAGTGAACTCTGTAAAACCTGGACCAGTTATAACCGACATCACAGCTAGTTCTGGTATTCCAGCAGAAAAAATTAAAGAAACAGGAGAAAACACACCTCTAGGAAGATCCTCAGACGCTAATGAGATTGGTGACATAATTCTGTACCTAGCCAGTGATAAGGCTAGGAGTATCACAGGGTCCTGCTATGTTATTGACAATGGATATTTGTTACAATAGAATGTAAAATTTATAACTGAAGACATTGAGAATGCTAAGAATTGTAATTAAATATAAGTAAAGAAATTTTTATGGACTTATTGAATGGTGTCATGAGTGCAAAATGTCATTTGAATACAATTATTTCCAAGCAATTTGTTTTTTCTATTGTAAGAACGTAAAATGTACATTGTAAATTGTACATCAGTATCCCTAATGCATCATTGTTATCGTTGCTATCGGTCTGAGTAAAGATAAATATTACTTTTTAGATTAAGAGCCTTAACTAGTGACGAAGTGTAGTGAAGTATTTTTAATTATTATCTAATATTATTACAATCAATAAAGACTCTCAAGTGCGATGGCCGAGAAACAGGCGTAAAGGCTATCGTTATATAGCAATTCATAGATAAATACCTCTCCAATTACTTGCCTCCATAAAAAATCATGAAGTGATATGTTTTGAAGTGAAAGTAACGAGAAATACTGAAAAGAACAACATTTTAGTAAATAAGTTACATAGTTACATGCGTTTTTTTTATGGCATAAGCCGGTAAACGAGCAGACGGATCACCTGATGGTCAGCAATCAGCGTCGCCCACGGACACCTGGAACACCAGAGGCGTTACAAGTGCGTTACCGGCCTTTTGGGGATTAGGAGTTTGAGGATCGTTAGAGATTCAGGAATTGGGGAGATTGGGGAAGGTGAGGGTAATTGGGCCTCTGGTAACCTCACTCACACGACGAAACACAACGCAAGCATTGCTTCACGTCGGTTTTCTGTGAGGCCGTGGTATCACTCTGGTCGAGCCGGCCCATTCGTGTCGAAGCATGGCTCTCCCACACTTATACAGATACGCGTTATACAGATAATTTGGCAATTATTTTGTATTTATAAGAGTGAAGACAAGGTAAACATAAATTAATCCTCACTCTCCACTTGTTAATCCTTATCTAAACCTAACGGCCTTGAACTGAGTTAAGTTATATTTGTAAATAAAACTCTTTGTGCTCCTCAAGGCCAAGAAGACTAAGAATATTGAATCAGTCACGGCTGCATATTCGGGAACAATAGGATATATACTTCGTACTAAGAATACAAAAAACTAATTTGAAAGGTTTATACAATACTGACCACGATTCCAAACTCTGTCATGAAAATTATCGAGCGAAAAGTACAAATCGACGACTTATCAATCGTGCTCGTGGCCATACGTTCGGCATCCGTGCCTATAAATCACTGTTCCAAGTCATTGAAAATCCCGAGCGCGTTTCGCGCACGCCTCAAAGAGCCATCAGACTACCACGGATGGGGCCCAATAGGGCTGATGCCGATACGGAGTTGCGGAGAACCTAACGAGGTGGTTTTTAGTCAGTAAGAGTCTGACACTCCCTCCCGCCTCACCCAGGTGGGATGATGATATTCCCTCTTAATTTTTTTTTTAAAATGTCGTTGAAAATAAAAAATATCCAAAGGATTAGAAAACATACAATAAATTAATCAGACAATAAGGAAAAAGAAAAATCACAATGAAATAAATCAGATGATTTTATTGCTGGTAATATAATTATTACATCGTTATGCAACAAAACTCTATTGGCTCTTGTCATAAATTACGACAACAGCATACCGTTATCAACAACGTAATTTGATCCAGTGGCACCTCTCGCCTTATCACTTGCAACATACATTATCATATCTGCAATCTCACCAGGCTCAGACACTCTCTGTAATGCTGTACGTGTCCTCAATTTTTCTGCATTAACTTCCAGACCTTCAAATATATCTGTCATTACTGGACCTGGGCTTACAGAATTGACCCTAACTCCATGAGTAGCAAGGTCAAGGGCAACACACCTAGTGAAGTGGTTCATAGCAGCCTTAGAAGTTCTATAAGCAGTGTTACCAGGTCTCGAAGTACAATTAGCAGCTACACTTGACACATTCACAATATTACCTTTAGTTTTGATCAGGTATGGAGCAGCAAAGTAGGTTATACGTACAGCGCCTCTCATATTAATATCCATAACTTCATCGTACGTTTTTAAGAAGTTCTCTGATAGTACATTAGCTTCTCTCAATATTCCAGCATTGTTGACAAGTACATCAAGTTTTCCGAATTTGTCGATGGTTTTCTTCACGACTGAGTCTGCATCTGCGTCTTTGGAGATGTCAGCTTTGATAGTGAGTACAGTTGCTCCAAGTTTCTGGCATACCACTGCTACTAGGTTCAGTTTCGCTTCGTTTCTGCCCACGATAGCTACGGAGGCACCTTCTGTAGCGAAGGATTCTGCTGTTTTAGCCCCAATACCAGCACTCCCTCCAGTTATTAGAACAACTTTATTAGCAAAACTCATTGTTCAAATACGTGTGTCTCGCTGCTCTCGGAAATGATACTAACGCGGCGATGTCTGAATGCACACTTAGATAAAAGATTGAACTGTTTACGCTAACAATTGTAAGTATTGTGTGTTTAGTAATGTACATTACATAAGTTTGATTCAAGGTTATATGAGCATTGATAAGAGATGATAGTGTCCATTTGTATTGCGGTCGTCTTTAGTTGATTGATATAACAATATTATCTTACATTTTAATGATAATAGGCGCCTAATATTACGCCAGAATGGGATACAATAGACAAAAACGAAGCTTTAAAAGATATGGTGGTTGGTAATTACTATCATATTGTTAATATGTGTTCATAAACATCTAAAATAATATATTCCACCTGTAATGGAGGTCAGTCAATAGACGGGTGCGGTCAGATTATAGCTAATGTGTGGTATAGCTTAACTACTCCAAATTGGACATAGTAACGTAATGATGTCACGTCTGTTTTGCTATGAAAGACTCATTCGATTTTTATTTAGAACATACATATCTTTATATATATAATTCTTCTATGAGTGTGTATGTCACTGAACTTCTCTCAAACGACTGGACAGATTTTGATGAAATTTTTTGTGTGTGTTCAAGGGGATCTGGGAATGGTTTAGATTCACAAATCAGCCCGGCAGATGGCGCTGCAGTCGGTGTCTAGGTTAGTTATCCTAAACGGCTGAACTAATTTGAAAGAATTTTTGTTTATACATTCAAGTGGATATGCAGGACGTCAACGTCTGCCGGGTCCACTAGGATTTATATATATGTTTGAATTTGAAATAAACAGTCTTCATAATTATTGTACTGATTCGATATCTTACAAAACCTTTAAATTTTATTGCTTCTCCATACACAGCTCCTCTCAAGATTCGGAAGGTACCTTACGAGATTTTGTGTGAATCAAAGTTCTTCGAGATGTACTAATAACCATTATCAACTTTGTAAGATCGTGTTACTATAAAAACTTGAAACTGACACATGCGTGCTGCCACCAGAACATCCGCCCAAAATGTTCTGGATCTTTCCTCAAAGGACCACTACAGAATCAACTTGGATGGTTCTCGCACATCTTTATCTTTATATGTATATATAATTCTTCTGTGAGTGTGTATGTCACTGAACTTCTCTCAAACGACTGGATCGATTTTGATGAAATTGTTTGTGTGTGTTCAAGGGGATCTGGGAATGGTTTAGATTCACAAATCAACCCGGCAAATGGCGCTGCAGTGGATGTTTAGGTTATTTATCCTAAACAGCTGACCTAATTTGAATGAATTTTTGTTTGTATATTCAAGTGGATATGCAGGACAACGTCTGTCGGGTCCGCTAGTATATTATATAATTCTGCTGTACGTGTGTATGTCGTTGAACTCCTTCTAAACGGCTGGACCGATTTAAATGAATTTTTCTGTAAGCGTTTGAGTTGCGCCCTGGATGGTTTAGATTCACAAATCAGCCCGGCATCTAGGTTATTTATCTATACCTATTATTATTATATTATGCAGGACAACGTCTGTCGGGTCCGCTAGTTATATATATAATCTATCTGGGCTTTAAAAGAGATAATGACCTCTGAGTTTCTATCGTCGTTTCTTCTCAAAGTAGTCAGTTCAAAAATGTCGGCCATCATTTAGTAATCTAAAGATTGACGTGTAAAAGTGTTACTTAGTAACCTATTTGCAGAAATAAATATCATTTCATCATTTCATTACGGGATTTCAAAATTCATCAGTTTATTTTTCAAAAACTCATACTATTACATCACACAATGATTCGTTAGCAGACTATGATCTTATATAATTACTGCACAAGAACTGCTCATTTCAAGATCGGACTGCCTCGTTGGCAGAGTGGTCGCAAGTGCAACTGCCGGGCAAGGGGTCTCGGGTTCGATTCCCGAGTCGGCCAAAGTATTACTGGGTTTTAAAAAAAAAATTCTCCGTAGTAGCACGGACTCTGGAATTGTGCCCGGTATATGGCAATAGGCTCACCCCCTATTACATGGGACTCATAACATAAATAGTGAAAAGTGAGTGTTACATTGTACAGTGGCATAATGTGCACCTCTGCTTTCTTCGGGGATAAAAGCCGTGATGTTATGTATGTATTATGTACAAATTACAGCCTATTTCTATTAAATAAAAACTATGAGACGAGGGTTACAATTGTACAAGTCATGGTACACGAACTAAATATCATAACGAACATTTAAATCTATTAGTGGAATTAAAAAATCGTCCCCTCGGTCAAATAATACGTATGTATGTTTGTATGATAACCATCTAATGAAATCCTTGCGTCAACCGCTCCCATAGAAACTTGTGATTTCGTACAATTACTTATAATAGTGACAAACGTTTTGTGTATCATTTGTTTCTATTTAAGAATCTATTTGTGTGGGAATGGGTTGTTTTGTTTAGTCATTGTTTGTATTCAATTTCGTGTACCTACCTAGGAAGGGACTTTGATTTGTTTAGATCAATTTTTCTATTCGTTCATTTAATATTTTCTATGATTTATGGTGACTGCATATATAGACTGCATGGTTGGTGCGGTGGCTGGGCTCGTTTCCCGCACGGAACAACACTTTGTGTGATCCACAAACTGTTGTTTCGGGTCTGGGTGTCATATGTATGTTAAGTTGTATGTTTGTAAACGCACCCACGACACAGGAGATAATCCTAGTGTGGGGCAACGTTTTTAGAAAAACAAAAAAAAAAGAAGATCTATAAATTGAACTCCTTTCTATACAAGTTTTAATCATTAATGGTAAGGTCGCGGAGAACCTAACGGGTAACCGGGGCTCCGGCTCGACAGGAGAAGGAACGGGGTGGTTTTTAGTCAGTAAGACTCTGACACTCCCTCCTGCCTCAACCAGGCGGGAGCAGCCATTCCATGATTTTTCCCCGCTTAAAAAAAATGGTAAGCAATCAGCTCCCGCTGCACCGATCGGTTGGCGGGCGATCGCAATGGGACGGCCGGTATGGAACTCAACTGATTGTTTAACCGGCTGCCCTTGCTATAACGAACCACCAAGTTTGGGGACGATAATCGCAACAATATTGCGATCGCCATCTCAATCCCATGACATGCGGTCGCTGGGGTGGCGGAGGCGGTAGGATGCTCCGATTCACTTTGTTTTTTATTTTATTATTTTAAGTTTTTTGAGTATTGGTAGTTGTAATAGGTTGCACTTAACTACACGTTATTTTTAATTTGCTTTTTTGTTTTTATATATTTTTGTTTTGTTATGTGCATTTTATTTAATATTTTTGGGGAAAATTGCTTTATGTTTATCGTTGTCTGATTTGTGACTTGTTCGTCCGCGAGTCACTTAAGGGGCCAGTAGAATACCAGCGCGAGGCCCTGTCTTGCACATGCTGAACTGGTCCCATTTCACCGCAGACTGGGACATTAGTAGATGTATATAAACTTATGTGTAAAATCTGTACGTGTCACATGTTTTAGCGTGTGAAAAAAAGTTTTTCTTTTCAACAGCTGGGAGTCTGTAACCTTCACACGTCTATTTTTCAAGCAACGATGAGGACGACATTTCTTCACTGACTCCTCTGAGAAGATATGCCGGAACAAGCTCAGAAATCCGTCTCTTTAAGGGGTTCGTCTCTTAAAGGGCTCAGGTAGATAATATAAGATTGGGACAAAATACCATTGAGTTTTAGAAATTCTCAGTATTAGCACTGTGTTTATAAACAGCTAAACTTGACGAAAAAATATTCTACTAAATACTTATTCCACTACTCCAGCTGTGAACTAAATGCTCCACGTGTGCACTTCGACATACGAAACTTATGCCCAGCGTTGCATGTCACACACGGGCCTTAAGAACTAACAACGAATTTAAACAATAGTGGACATAGTCAGCTACCAACTGCAGTTGCAATGAAGTGTGCTCGGCTCGTACGACTATGAAATTATTAGTAGATTTTTTAATTTTTTTTATAGCATAAGCCGGTAAACGAGCCTACGGATCACCTGATGGTAAGCAATCGGCGCCGCCCATGGACACCCGAAACACCAAGGGGTTACAAGTTTGTTACCGTCCTTTTAAGATTGAGGATTTGAGGATTGTGGAGGATTCGGGGATTCGGGACACTAGGGAGGGAGGTAATTGGGCCTCCAGTAACCCCACTCACACGACGAAACACAGCGCAAGCGTTGTGTCACGTCAGTTTTCTGTGAGGCCGTGGTATCACTCCGGTCGAGCCGGCCCATTCGTGCCGAAGCATGGTTCTCCCACTTTCAGTAATTAAGGTTTCAATTTGTGCCCATTTTCATCTTTAGGGCCATAATGGTAAACAGTCGAAAAGTTTAGATCAAATATTAAGCCTTACTTGGTATCTGCTTACTTGAACATCCGCTCTGCATCATCTAGGTTGTGTCGTAGATAATGTCCATGGACATGATCAATGTACTTTTGATTATGTGCACAAAGACCAAATAATAATCTTGACTGCACGATTGATGCTGTGGCTGGGCAACTGGCTGCCGCGCAATTTATTGCGGGTTCGATTCCCGCACGGAACAACTCTTGTGTGATCCACAGATTTTTGTGCCGGGTCTGGGTGTGATGTGTATGTGAACTTGTATGTTTGTAAACGCACCCACGACACAGGAGAAAATCCTAATGTGGGGCAAAGTTATTCAGAAAAAAAAATATAAAAAAGACAACGCTAGCTCGACTTTTTAACTCACTGTGTAGCATAAGCTTAACTAGTGAGTTGCGGTTTGTATTGAAATTTTTGAATATGGCAACACTCGAGGATTCCGCTTTGAGTGTATCCGAAAATATTCGACGTAATTACTCCGGGATGAGTGCTCTGGGTTCCGTCGGATTATGAGCATGGTTACGGGTCTTGGCTTCGATTCTAGATTTGATAATATTGGTACTTTACCTTTTGAGAAATTTCTCCTAAATTTTAAGGAACCTCTAATCTAAGATAGGTGCCACTTA